AAGGGCTCGAAGGAGAAAAGACACTCAGGCTCGCGACCCCCGCAGAGTCTCCGCACTACAACGATTGGTTCCTAAAACACATGGGAGTGTCGAGGTCGGAATTCCAGAGCCACGCCTTGCCTATGAACTAGCAGACAAAACGTTAGCAAGGTTGCAGAGCTCACCGTTCGTTCCGACAATAGAGAACGCACCATTACCCTCAGCCTTGGTGACCTGGGTTTAACGTGGTTTGAGAGGTTGCCAGAAGGTAGCATAGCTTCGTGGGCGCAACTAGCGGAGGCATTTGTGACCAGATTCAGAACGAGCACCAAGGCGGAGTTCGGCACAAACAGCGATGTCGAATAGAACACCTTTGACAAAAGTTAGCATGGTTGACAAGAAGGACTAACCAAGTAAAAAGTCTTTGCCCAACTGGGGGCAAAGTGGGTTGGCAGGATTGACCAACTCTTTCTAAACAAAATCAGAGCTGGCCGGAATAACCAATTTTGAGCTCTCTTCGGCTAGGATTAGGATCTGAGCTGAAGAGGTTGGCTAAAAAAATCAACATTTCTCCTAAGCCGAGGATAAGGATCCAGGCTGCAGGACGTTTGGTTGGAAAAACCAAACATTTCGCTCAAAGTTGGCCGGAATAACCAACTTTGAGCTCTCTTCAGCTAGGATTAGGATCTGGGCTGAAGAGGTTGGCTGGAAAAACCAACACTTCTCCTAAGCCGAGGATAAGGATCCAAGCTGCAGGACGTTTGGCTGGAAAAACTAAACACTTCGCTCAGAGTTGGTCAGAATAACCAACTTTGAGCTCTCTTCAGCTAGGATTAGGATCTGGGCTGAAGAGGTTGGCTGGAAAAATCAAACACTTCGCTCAGAGTTGGCCGGAATAACCAACTTTGAGCTCTCTTCAGTTAGGATTAGGATCTAGGCTGAAGAGGTTGGTTGGAAAAATTAACATTTCTCCTAAGTCGAGGATAAGGATCCGGGCTACAAGACGTTTGGCTGGAAAAACCAAACACTTCACTCAGAGTTGGCCAAAATAACCAACTTTGAGCTCTCTTCAGCTAGGATTAGGATCTGGGCTGAAGAGGTTGGCTGGAAAAACCAACACTTCGCCTAAACCGAGATAAGGATCTAGGTTGCAGGAAGTTGGTAGGTTTGACCAACAAGTCTTTGCCCTACTAGGGAGCAATCAAGAAGTTTGGCAGGAATGACCAAACATTTAGCTCTTCTTCAAGCCGAGATAAGGATCCGTGCTGAAGAAGGTTGGCAGGTATGATCAACAAAATTTTTTAAACTTTTTCGCCGGGATGATGGTTACCTCGGCCAAAGTAGGTTGGCAGGTATGACCAACAAAATTTTTGGAACTCTTTGACCGGGAAGATGGTTACCTGGGCCAAAGCAGGTTGGCAGGTATGACCAACAAAATTTTTTGAAACTCTTTGGCTGGGATGATGGTTACCTCGGCCAAAGCAGGTTGGCAGATTTGACCAATAAATTTTTGAACTCTTTGGCCGGGATGATGGTTACCTCGGCCAAAGCAGGTTGGCAGGTTTGACCAACAAATTTTGAATTCCTGGACCAAGATGATTATCTCGGCCAAAGTAGGTTGGCAGGGTTAGTATAAACCGAGTTAGTCTACTCAGCGAGACACAGAAAGAACGACTGGCCATACAATTGCAAACTCGAAGGATATATACGTTAAAGGCAAAAAAGCAGGGCTATTCAAATTTTTGGCATGACGGTGGTAACAAGAGAACAAGGATATTGGGGGCACACCATGTATCCTGGGAATGACGTCGTACCAAATTAGTGGAAGAACATGTTGAGCAACTGACAAGGCTTATTAGGGGCCGAACAAACTTTTTAGCTCGGAAAAGTAGGGCGTTCTTAGCTCGGCTGGAGGAAAAGTAATCTCAATCATACTACGCAGATGGAATTAAGGGGCAATTGAGAGGGTAATTTGTAAACAAATTGGGCCGAGTTAGGAAAAGTCTTCTTTGAAAGTTGGGCCGCGCAATGGGCCTAGATAAGGGCTGGTATAGCTTGGTCTTAGGTTAAGAAGACATCTCATATTTCGGATTTAGGCCGAACTATGGGCCGAGGTGTTTGGGCTTCGCAAGTTGGACCTCGTCCTTGTTAGTTCGGTCGGAGACTGCTGCAGTTACCTCGGTCTAAACAGACAAAACCGAGGTAACATCAATAGCGAGGGCCGAAATTGGGCCGAGTTAGGAAAAGTTTTCTTTGAAAGTTGGGCCGCGCAATGGGCCGAGATAAGGGCTGGTATAGCTCGGTCTTAGGCTAAGAAGACATCTCATATTTCAAATTTAGGCCGAACTATGGGCTGAGGTGCTTGGGCTTCGCAAGTTGGACCTCGTCCTTGTTAGTTCGGTCGGAGACTGCTGCAGTTACCTTGGTCTAAACAGACAAAACCGAGGTAACATCAATAGCGAGGGCCGAACTGTGTATAGCTCGGTAGGGTGGCATTCGATAGATCGGCTTTCGATCACACGGTCCGAATGGCAGGGGACCAAGATAAGGCAGTTCGGTCAGAAATGTATAACCGAGGTAAAGGGTTCAGCCATCTCACTTGACTTGCAGTGATAAGACTCCTAGGAGGACTCTGCTAAGGGGAGTTAGAGTCCTACTGGGATTATGTAAACCATCTCACTTGGTTGGTAGTGAGTAGGAGCATGACTCTTAGGAGGACTCTGCTAAGGAGAGTAGAGTCCTACTAGGATTGTGCAAAACCATCTCACTTGATTTATAGTGAGTAGGTTGTGTGATTCCTAGGAGGACTCTCATAAAGAGAGTTGGAATCCTACTAGAATTGTGCCAAAGTAAAGTCTATAAAAACTCATGACCAGACCTATGAACAAGTATCCCAATTTTTACTCTAGAATACACAGAGCTTATTGTCTATTGTCTACTTGCTGACTTAGGCATCGGAGGGGTTTCCAGCACACACCCGCCGGTTAGCTCACGTTTGTGTTTTCAGGTGGTAAAGCAACATTGTTTGGAGGAGTGCAAACTTGATCAACAGGATCATACGAGAAAAATTATTTCGTGCTAGTACAACTCAATATTGTGCCACAAAATATAAAAAATTAAACATAAAATATCACAAGTCTTATTTTTATATTAATCAATTTATCACAAAATAACATAAAATAGCTCAAGAATTGAGAAATTTTGTACAATACTATAAGAAATCAAAATGTAGATAATCGGTAAAAAGTTGAATCTTATTACAATCAATGAGATCGTGAGATTCTCAAATCTTAGAGACAAAATCGTCTATGGTAGAAAGAGTCAATTGTGAGAATAATTTTGGATCATTGCTCCATTGTGATTACAATTGCGATCGAGGATGATTAAGATCGCCGCCATTCAAGATCAAAATCACTATTGTTGTATTGAGAAAGAATTATGAACTTGTAAAGAGAGATAATTGATTGTGAGATCAATGTCTATCTCAATATGTATAATTCTTGCTGCTCCATTATTTGACGATTACAATTTGATATAGTCGTTAGCAATTTTGCAAAAATGATATTTGCGTAAATACAATAATATTGTCAAAATTTGATATATTGATTCTATAAACAAGTTAAATTATAAGTTTGACATTACTATTATTTTAGCAACAATCAGTAAAGAATTGAAATGAGCAAAAAATTAAGATAGAGTTTTGCTTCAAAGAATTTGATTTCTACATTAGCAATTCAACAATGTTAGGTAACTCAAAATTTTGTGGTTCAAATGGCTAAAATCACTCAAAACGACGTCGTTTTGATAGATTTTGAGTACAAAACGACGTCGTTTTGACATATTTGAGTCATTTGAGCCACAAAATTTTGAACTACAAAATATTTTCCTTAACAATTTACCAATTTACCTTGGATGATGAAGCACAACATCAGTTGATCTGTTAATCGGACGGTAATGATTCAATTCCACGTGTATACGTCAATTCTATTAACATAGGTTTAATTTAAGAACTTGACTAAAAATTAATTTTTGACTTCTAATTTATTTTGAATCATCGCACTTATTTTTTTTTATATATTTAAAAAAAACTAAAAATAAATTAAAATTTTAATTTTTAATCAATTTCTCAAAACAGTCCATAATATTCCTCTCTAACAAAAATAAATAAATAAATAATTCCTCTCATTTTGGTCCCTCAATCTATCTTCCAAAAAGTAAAAGAAAGCGACACTCACTATTCCTTCCCAGGAAAGCGGGCTGACTCATCATCAGTCCTTCATAGAGACAAAAAACAATATCAACACTGATTAGGCAACTTTATTATCAATTAAACCTTATTAAATAAAATAGTAATAATGAGAAATATTTTTTAAATAATGCTATATGAATCAATTAATATAATAATTAGTGTACTAACAGATAATGTAACATAATTTTAAAAATTTTAAGTATTTATAATTTGTATAATAGATAAAATCAGTAATAATGCCATAACATATGTTAATACACTAATTGATACATGTAGCTTCACCGATATTTTTTACTTACTTTCTTAATGCTATGTTTGATTAATGGATTTGTTTAGAAATTTAGAAATGAAAAGAAAAAAAATGTGAAATAAGAATGAAATATAATTATATACACATTTTACATAGTTTTTTTTCTCTTTTTCTTTCCAATTTTTTATCACAATTTATGAATCAAACACAGTTTAAATTTAATAAAAATATATTTAATTTCATGAATTTGATATAAATTATACTAACTTTCTTTTTAATAAGATTAAAGCCATCAAATAATGAGTAAACATGTAAATAAACAAAAGTAAATACATATGTTAGTATAAATAACACGATAAAATATAACTTATATGACTTACAAACTATTGATGGAAAAAAATTTAAGTAGTATATGAATTAAATTATTGAGAAAAATTAATATAATTTCAAGAAAAATAAATAAACTAATTTATCAAAATTTTAAAAATAAAAAAGAGAATAATCTCCCTTTATATCCGTAGTCCATCTCTGTCGGTTGACACACAACAACTCCTTCACTTCACTTCACTTCACTGTCATGGCTTCACTTCCCTGCAAATCTCTCTTCTTGTCACTCTTCTTCTTCTTCTTCATTACAATCCAAACCTTAGCTGTTTCAGCTGATGAGACGGTCAAAACATACATATTCCGAATCGACAGATTCGCTAAACCGTCCATCTTCCCAACTCACTACCACTGGTACACCACCGAGTTCACCGACCCAACCACCATCCTCCACGTATACGACACCGTTTTCCATGGCTTCTCTGCTTCTCTCACTCCAGCTCAAGCCGCTTCAGTCCTCCAACACCCTTCCGTCCTCGCTTCCTTCGAGGATCGCCGGAGGCACCTCCACACAACTCGCTCGCCGCAGTTTCTCGGCCTGAGAAACCAGCACGGTCTCTGGTCCGACTCCGACTACGGCTCCGACGTCATCATTGGATTGTTCGATACCGGAATTTGGCCGGAGCGCCGGAGTTTCTCGGACTTGAATCTCGGCCCGGTTCCGAGTCGGTGGAAAGGGGTTTGTCAAACCGGAACGAAATTCACTTCGAAGAATTGTAACAAGAAGATCGTCGGAGCTCGATTCTTCTCCAAAGGCCATGGGGCGTTCGTCGGCGGAATCAACGAGACGGTTGAGTTCATGTCGCCGAGAGACGCCGACGGGCATGGGACCCACACGGCGTCGACGGCCGCCGGGAGACACTCGTTTCAGGCAAGTATGTCTGGGTATGCCGCCGGAATAGCCAAAGGAGTTGCTCCGAAAGCTCGATTGGCTGTGTATAAAGTTTGCTGGAAAGACTCTGGTTGCTTCGATTCCGATATCCTCGCCGCCTTCGACGCTGCCGTGAACGACGGCGTCGATGTGATTTCGATATCAATCGGGGGCGGCGATGGGATTTCTTCCCCCTACTATCTCGACCCAATTGCCATCGGAGCTTATGGAGCTGTTTCGAGAGGAGTTTTCGTGTCAGCATCAGCGGGAAACGATGGGCCTAATGGAATGTCGGTGACGAACCTCGCTCCGTGGTTGACAACAGTCGGCGCGGGAACAATTGATCGGAATTTCCCCGCTGATGTGGTGCTCGGAGACGGAAGGAAACTCGCCGGTGTATCGTTATACGCCGGAGCTCCGTTGAATGGGACAATGTATCCTCTGGTTTATCCGGGTAAATCAGGGGTACTCTCATCTTCACTCTGCATGGAAAATTCACTCGACCCGAATCAAGTGAAGGATAAAATCGTGATCTGTGATCGAGGAAGCAATCCTCGAGTCGCGAAAGGATTGGTGGTGAAGAAGGCCGGCGGTGTGGGAATGATTCTCGCTAATGGGGTTTCGAACGGTGAAGGGTTAGTCGGCGATGCTCATCTGATTCCGGCTTGCGCAGTCGGTTCCGATGAAGGCGAAGCGATTAAATCCTACCTTTCATCATCTTCAGTTGCAACGGCGACTGTGAATTTCAGGGGGACTATAATCGGAATCAAACCGGCGCCGGTGGTGGCTTCGTTCTCCGGGAGAGGACCAAACGGGTTGAACCCGGAAATCTTGAAACCCGACTTGATTGCTCCTGGTGTCAACATTTTAGCAGCATGGACCGATGCGGTTGGCCCAACGGGTTTGGATTTGGATCCCCGAAAAACCGAATTCAACATTCTATCGGGTACTTCGATGTCTTGTCCCCATGTAAGCGGTGCCGCGGCCTTGCTCAAATCGGCCCACCTGGATTGGAGTCCGGCGATGATAAAATCAGCAATGATGACAACTGCGAGTATAACCGATAATCGGTTCCAACCCATGACCGATGAATCGACGGTTAAACCATCGACGCCATACGATTATGGTGCAGGTCATGTTAATCTGGATCGGGCCATGGATCCGGGTCTCGTTTATGATATCACAAACAGTGATTATGTAAACTTTTTATGCGCAATTGGGTACGGTCCAAAAACAATTCAGGTGATCACCCGATCACCTGTGAATTGTCCGGCGAAAAAACCTTCACCAGACAATTTGAATTATCCTTCTATGACCGTGTTGTTTTCGAGCTCGAGTGGAGCTGTTTCGAGAAAGAGTTTTATTCGGACCGTGACAAATGTTGGGCCGGTAAACTCGGTTTACAGAGTGAAGGTTGAAACGCCGAAGGGGGTGGCGGTGACGGTGAAGCCGGCAAAGCTGGTGTTCTCGGAGAGAGTGAGGAAGGTGAGCTTTGCGGTGACTGTAACGGTAGACAGCAAGAATCTGGTGTTGGATGACTCGGGTGCTGTGTATGGATCACTTTCTTGGTTCGATGGAAAGCATGTGGTTCGGAGCCCCATAGTGGTCACCCAAATTGAGCCCTTGTAATCTATTTTGATCATGTGGGCTTGATTAAGGATCGGACAGTGGTGTACGTTTGATGGGGGAGAGTTTAAAGTGCAAAGTTAGGCTGCAGTGTATTGTAGCATAACTTGCTACCACTACTAGAACTCATACGCTGTTTTTAGGTGTTTTGAGGAGGGTGTCTGTTGTGTTTAATTAATACCTTTAATTATTTTCGTTTTGCTTTTCTTTGTTTTTTTTTTTTTGTTTTGTTTTGTTTTTATTTATTTAAGCTCATAATGTGTATGATTGTATTTGTCATATAATATTGGTTTAACAAGAAAAAAGGTCTGAATCCATGTGGTTAAATCTCATGCTGTTAAGTATCATTGTTGGAAAATAATTTCGTATTTTCAAATTCTTTTTAGTTAATGTTATCATGGGAGACAAATGTATTGCTAAGCTATTTTGGTTAAAAAACTATGTAGGCGATCGATATGAATTTAAATTGTTGAGGGTTAAGAATATTGTGCGCCTAATGTAGTTAACCATTTAATTATGCATAGAAAGTCAAAACTATTATATATGAACATTCAACAAATTGATTATCAACTTTGTGGTTTGTACATTAATTTTTCATGTAAAAATGGTGAATGGGGAGAACGGCAGCTGGGTTTGTGTGGCAGTGAGCTTAATTTTTTGGGTCCCTAGTGAATGTATGTCAACTCTTAATTTGAACACGTGACTTATGATAATAGGTTCGGAGAACAATTTTTAAAATTTTTAGACATATCTAACTTAGATTTATCTAAAAAGTGAAAAATTTGTGAAGAAAACCTTTTAAAAATTCACTAAATACCTAAAATATTAAAAACATGCCAGAATTCAGTATATTTTTTGTATTTTTATGTATTTATTAATTTTTTAAAATATTTTTTCACAAATTTTTTACTTTTTAGATACATCTAAGTACGATGCATCTAAAAAGTAAAAAAAATGTTTAAAATTTAAAAAAATATTCATTAAAAATAAAAAAAAATACGAAAATCAAAAAATTTAATTTTCAAAAAATTCAAACCAAACGCACTAAATAGGTCCGGAGAAGTATGAAGAGATAATTCTCCACTCTACTTCTACTGCTAACACACTAACTCATAGATAAATAATAATAATAATAATAACCCACCTACTTTCCTTTAATCAGGAATGTTTGTCGGTTATATTTAATATTAAGTAGGATCTTTACATCTCATACTAGAAAGGTGGAGTTTCACACTCAGCAGTATCTAACCTACTGCTTAAAGCAAATCTGATATCCATCTTTATGTTAATTAAGGAGACCAATTTGTTGAAGATCTCTTATAAAATGTCTTTCAAACTTTGATTCAAATTTTAATACATTTATCAATGGGATTGTGGAGCAGCCTATTAGTATCTTAACTACCAACCTAAATATAACATATATATATATATAGATTGTGCACATCAGCAGTGAAATCCAACTTGTAATCCCTCCTACTAATAAAATATTATTTCTCATTGAGAAATGTTATCTGTTATTGATCTATTTCATTATTATTTTGTATCATCGCCTACGTGGATACTCATTATTAGTTCCTTGTTATGAAATAATTAACAAATAATATCATGCCATGCATCTCAATGATATAAACAGGTAAAAAAGAGAGAGGGAGGGTGGGGGGTGGTAATATACAGCCCCGCTACGTAGCTCGAATCTGTGGCCCGAATGTGTGGCTCGACACCAAAATCACGTCGTTTTGGTGTCTGTTTTTTTTTTTTTTTCTTTTTCCTCCCTGTTTCTCCTCTCCCCCTCTGTCTGTTCGAAAATGAAAGAAAGAAAGAAGAAGAAAAAAAAAAAAAAAATCGAGCCAAAATCGAGCCAAGAAATTCGTGCTACAAAGCTTTTTCCGGTAATATATTACTCATTTTCCCTATTTCAGGGGAAGGGTACATGTATTGTGCTTGCATGGTTGATTAGTAAAGTTTTAGTTTGTTTAGGTCATGTATATTTTTTCATAATTAGAAGCAAATCAAATCAAACCAAATTAAATTTTATGTTGCAATTAGATTGGGTTATATGTATCCTTTTCATAATTTCACTATCTAAAGAATTATACAGTTAATTAAATTAAATAATGTATAGAAAAAAATAGTATATATCAATAATACAAACTGACAGGAAGTCTAGTGAGTGGTCCTTTAATTTGAAGGGACACTGCAAGTGTTCATCGCTTGCATGCTAATTCGGCTTTTTCTTTGAGAATGGCCTATTTCACTACCTTGCAAGTCATAAGTATTGGCTTTATTAAAGTTAAAGAAGAAAGGGAAAAAAATAAGAGCAATGTAAATCCCAAATCTTCCCATAGCTAATGGAACAGCCAAATTAACTTGTTCATTGGAGTCACACTCAACCCAACAAGTTTTGGATTTGGCCACTCAGTGGGAAAATTCAAGTATCTTGAAAAGAAATGGACTAAAAAAAAAAAAGAGAATAATATTTTACAAAAGCAACAAAGTATGGAAAAAAGAAAAGAAAATGACAGAAAACGAAGAAATGCATCGATGTGAAGTTGTGTTACAAGTCTGTAATGACTTGAGATTTATAATACTCATACTTAAAATAGGCCAAGATACAAGCAACAATGAAATCTGAGGCTAAATTTAAATGGCTAGAAACTTGTCAAGATCGAATGGGTTTGAGATAGAGAATTATATCACTCTGTTAATCTGCAACATACTAAATGAAAATTGTGTACAAAGGACAATTATGCATAATATAGTTTACAAATTTAAAATCGTTGATTCCAAACATATGCCAACCAGCTGAAGATTTTTACTATCACATCGAAGATCATAAACAAAACCAACATCATATTGTGGGGAATGTAAGAACTATACCAACCCTATAATGTATTCATTGGATGAATTATGGCAATTGTGGAAAACTATGCCAGCATATGCCTCCTTTGCAGCTCTTGATGCAAACTGGGTCTGAAGAAAAGTGAAGGATTGTTATTGCGTCGACAAGGCGGGTGAGAAATATAAGGATGAAAGTAGAGGCTGCAGAGAAAACAAAAAGAATAAGAGTAGAAACTCTGCCTTCTAAAGGAGAGAACAAGCCAACCAGTTGTAGAGATTTCAGAAACATGATATCAATAGCCCAGACATAGTTCCAATTGGATGTAAGAATGTCTGCAATCCTCATGTTTAGAGCCTTCGCCACAAAGCAGCACACTAGATGGGCCTGCAAACAACACTGTACATGTAGATAACATTAATATAAATAACAAGTCTAAAAATAAAAAAAAACTGATCACAAAATCAGCACAAAATGTATATGCAAGGATGAGATTGTTTATATGTGGATCCCATTTTGAATGCTCCAGCTGTGGGCCTTGCCATAACACGATCAACTTCAATTGATCAACATTAGTTTTTGCCTATGGTTACTTTGACACTGATCCCTATGTGTTTGGATCTTGGCTTTGTGAAGGAAAAAATTTGAATTTTTACTGCATTCATTGTTACATGAATCAGAAATGCTGCAAGAAGATCTACACAGAGCAGATACTAAAAACTCCAAAGGGATGAGAATGGTAAGGTCCAGTATCAGTGTACCTGTATAATTTTGTTACACTTTGCCTGTGGTTATAGTAGGCATTTAAAGCAGCCCATCTCTGCAAGAAACACTGAACTTAGTCATTGTATTGATTAGATTAAGTAGTTAAGAAAGGTTTATTGAAATATCTCAACCACAGTTCCATAAAAAAGCAACTTCTGGAAATTTCTTGAGCTCAATGTTCACTGGGAAAAGCATGTTTTAACAATGCCGTAGCCATCCAAGAGGTGCCCCACCAATTAATGTAGTTTGACTTTGGCAAATCGAAAACTGATTCAACACATTTGACAGCCTTCCGTTCTCCCACCGGTAGTTTTTCTACTCTGATAAAAATAAAAACCAATAAACAAAATCAATGTGGGTAATCTAGTTCTTATTAATTCAAAAACAAAGATGCGATGAGGCACATAAATATGAACCTTCAGCTCTTAAAGGTCAAGCTTTCTAAATCCTCTTGCTGATCATCATCATCAAGTTTGCATCACCACTGAACATTAATATTCACAATTTATTCATGCAAATTTAACAACAAAAGAATATGCACAGTTGATTTTTGAAGTAATCTCTGTCATTTAATATAATCAACCAATAAAAATCCTAATTTTAACTTACTGTACTTAAGGGTTAAGACCTCTACCATAACATATAGCAAAAGAGGATTATAAACAACGAAATTCATACATGATATTTCACGCCCATTTTTGGTGCAATGTTGATGAAGTTGACACCTTCAATGGGACATCAGGAAATAATACTTGATTGAGTTTAGTTCAGTCCTCATTTGGTTTGCATCAAAGTGCATGTCAAACTGACCAAACCATCATGCATCAATTCTGAAATGACTTACAAGCACTCAAAATGAACAGGAGTTTCCCCACTACCATTGATCCCATACCCATTTGTAAGTGCATTCCAGGAGACTACATCATCTCCTCGAACACAACGTGAGCAAGTTCCACATTCACACACCTACAAAAGGTGCACCAGTAAACCAATCATTGTTGTCCAACTGATAACATCTTTGTTTTCCATCTCATTGAATATTTTAGTGGCAGCATCCAAATTAATCAAGCTTGAATGCATGTCAAGAACAGAATTACTAACAAACGTATTGAAAACTAGCCCATGATTGATTCACATAGTCTCTAAAACTCTCATACAGGGAAAAGATTCCAGGGATCATCCGTCACCCATGAATCATGATCGACCATGCAATGACGTTCTTCTCGGAAATTTCTTCGAGCAGCTTCTCCGCGTCTTGAATTGTTCCAGGTTTATAGTAAAACCTCAAGAATTTTGAGGCTTGTACGAGGATTTGGAAAGAGCAGAAGTTCTTGATTCCTAGTACGAGCTGTTTCTGATCATAGAACACTTTGCTACAGTATTTTCTTCAACTTGGGCCTTTTGTAAGTAAGAGTAGCGCTAAGTAGCCACAGCATTCTTTTTGGGCCCCCACTTTGCATCCCATCTCAAATTGAAATATTTTATAATAAAAAAATGAGATTTTTGGCCATAACTCCTTCATTGAGGCTGTTTTTCTTAAAAATGACAATTTATAATTTTTTGGCTCATAAACTCCTCCAAAATAAAGAAATCTTGTAAAAAGGATAAAAAAATTTAGATTTATATTTTATGTGACAAATTTACCCCTTCATCCACACACTCTCTATCTTTCTCTTCTTTCTCTCCATTAGTTTGTCATCTCTCTCTCAGTTCTTTCTTTCTCTATCTCTTTCTAAGAGCTCTCTCCACCATCGTCTACACCACCACAACCATCACCATCTCCATCTCCACTAGCACGACTACCATAATTTCTATTACCTCCGCCGTCTCAACCATTGGCGTCATTCACCACCGCCACTACCGTTTTACCACCACAACTCAACCACCAGCGCCATTTGATGTCACTGTATCACAAGCAATCACCATCATCATCCTTAGCATCCAAGACCTTAGATCTGAGATTGACGACCTTAGATCTGAGATATATCATCTCAGATCTATATTCTCTCTTCTTCTTTTTTTTTTCTTTTTGTCTCCTAATCATGCTTTATTTTTCAGATAGTAAAATTTTACTCTGGTTTGAACCAAATCTAAGGCAATATATGTGCTCTCTTTATCTCTCTATTTTCTTTCTCTGGTATGTCCTCTGTTTTTGTTTGACAGAATGAGAATAAAATTTTACTCTGATATGTGCTCTGATTTTGTTTGACAGAATGAGAGTAAAAGTTTACTCTGATATGTGCTCTGTTTTTGTTTGATAAAATGAGAGTAAAATTTTACTCTGGTGTTATGTGTTTTTTTTTTTTTTTTTGGAGGATACAATGACAGTAAAGTTTTACTCTATTATTGTGTACTTTTGTTATTTATTTTCAGAACAACAAGTTCAAGCGATGAAACAGAGTGGGGGAGACAAACGGTTTCATCGTTTGATATTTGCTCATTTATATGGAAGTGTATTTCAGTCTTTTTATCATATTTTTTTTATTTGAGGGATTTTTGGAACCAGTATTTTATTACGTGGTATTCACACAAAAAAGGCCCAATGAGAGGAGCTTTTCACCAAAAATCTCAAAAAAAATTTAAAAAAATGTTATGAACCACAAAAATATACTTAAATTTTATCCCATATATATATATATATATAGTATAGGTTTAAAATTAATGAGGTATATACCACACTCATAATGATTATAGACTATTGATTTTGTTTTGTAAGTAATTTTTTAAATTTGTAATATTATTGAATTTCTTTAGACACCTAAATGTCAAAATTATCTCCAATCTTCTCAAACCCTAGCCCTAAGTTTACATCATCCGCCACCTACCACCACCAGCCTTAGCCCCTGCCCACCGCATAACATCTATGTTGTCACCCTTTTCCAACCTTGTCCAATCCTTTCTTGCAATCCCTCAACCCTCTATTACAATCCCTCAACCACCCTCCTTCAACCTTTGCCACTTTTCAACACCTTTCTGCCTTCTTCAATCCTTTCCTACATTTCCCACCACTACTACCTCTGAAACCTCCTCCACTACTATGACTCTCTTTCTCTTTTTCTTCTGTTCTCACTTGACTCTCTCTTTCTTTTTTTCTTTCTTCTTTATTTTTGTCATGTTAGAATAAGAGGTGAAAGGATAAAGGGGGGTTGGAAAGTGATAAGAGAGAAGCTAATGAAGGGTTTAGGAAGAACAAAGATGGAGATGAGTTAGAGGTGGCAAAGTAAATAAGAGATAGAATAAGAAGTGAAAGGAAGGATTATGAGACACAATGTGGCTACATAAGGGATGGCAACAAGCTTGGAGGTTTGAAGGGTTATTAGGGTGGTAATCGGATGGATGTATTGAGGGTGGCGGAGGGTAGAGGTTCATAATAAAAAAAAAGTGGTAATGAGTGGTTGGAAAGTAGTGGTGACAAGTAATAATGGGTGGTGAAGAGCAGGTAGCAAGAAAATTAAGACCTATTTTGAGAAGTAGAAAAAAAAAAGTTGATTTTTTTTTTAAATCATATAAAAAAATAGAGACATAATATAATTTAAATAAATTAATAAATTGATTGTTTTTTTTCTGATTGTCAAAATAAGCCTTAGGTAGAAAACATAAAATTATAGTAATAAATTATTATTATTATTATTTTCCAAAAAGGTATGGGTCAAAGAAGGTCAAAAGAAAGCATTTGTGGAAGAAAGCGCGCTACAGGTCGTTAACAGGAGAGAGAGACACAGCCGTTACGCGGCACTATCCATTTGGCGCCACGTACTCCACATCAAACCGACACGCCCCTTTCCTTTCTTCAACTGTAAGATAAACCCCAATAAAAACACTAATTTGCACCATTCTTCAACGCAATATCAAACTATCAAAACACCATAGCAGAGAAAGCTCTCAATCACCATGTCTTCTCAGAATCCCAAGAATTCACTCTACCCACAAGTTGATCAATCGAACCCAGAAGCTATTTCTTCTTCTTCTTCTTCTCCATCGTCTTCGACTATATACCCATCTATCGACATGAAAGACCTCGCAGAGAATCTCTTCCCAGATAACGATTCTCAAAACCCTAATTCCCAATCTCAACTCGAATCCTCCGAAGAAATCCTCATCAGGGTTCCGGGCACAATCGTCCATCTCATAGACAAAGAACAGAGCGTCGAGCTCGCTTGCGGCGAGCTCACAATCGTTCGTCTCTTGCAAGGAGGAAACGTCGTCGCCGTTCTCGCTCGCATCGACGATCAAATTCAATGGCCATTAGCGAAAGACGAAGCTGCTGTGAAGCTCGACGAGTCGCACTATTTCTTCACTCTTCGTGTTCCATCCGAGGCCGGGTTTGACAATGAGGAAGACAACGATGAAGTAAATATGGAGTCTGAGAATTTGTTGAATTATGGAGTGACAATCGCGTCGAAAGGGCAAGAGGGTTTGTTGGAGGCGTTTGATTCGATTTTGGAGCATTACAGTGCGTTTTCGGTGCAGAAGGTGTCGGAGGCGGTTGATGGATCGGTGGTTGCGAGGGAGACATCGCCGGAGGAAATGGAATCGGAGGAGGAGAAGAGGGAATTGATGGAGGGGAGTTCAGCGGCGTATTGGACGACATTGGCGCCGAATGTGGAGGATTATAGCGGAAATGTTGCGAGGATGATTGCGGTTGGTTCGGGGCAGCTGATTAAGGGGATTTTGTGGTGTGGAGATGTGACAGTGGATAGGTTGAAGTGGGGGAATGAGTTCTTGAAGAAGAAGTTAGGACCTGCTTCACAGACAAAAATTAGTCCCCAAGCCATGAGGAGGATGAAAAGGTTGGTCTTTCCTGTGCTTTCTTATTAGCTTCATTTCATTTCAGCATTTCTTTACCATTATACTTGTTTATCAGAGAGAATAATCTCCAATCCTTAGGTAGTGTTTGGTTCATTGGAATGAAGTGGAATGGAGTGATCATTCCATTAAAATATTCATTCCCATGTTTGGTTAGGCTAAAAATTAATGGCAAATCCATTACAAATGGAATCGTCTTTCATCATCTAAGGAATATCCATTCCATTCCATCTCGTTCCACTGAACTTGTTTCAATGAACCAAATAGAGCACTACTGTTTTCAAAATTTCATCGAATTTGAATAGATGTATGACTGTTGAAAATTTGGTCAAGGATTTTGGTTTGTTCTTGATTTGGTGAAAATATTGTGTACTAATTTGACGAAATGATTGGAGCTCCCTTTTAGCTCTTTATTCATCAAATTTGAATTTTATAAAAGAATTGGTAAAGGATTGGCAATGCTCTTAGTTCTTTTAATAAGGGTTTTGTTATCTCTCATACCTTCGTTCTCGATTCAATGTCTGTTATGGCTGTTTTTAGAATCTACAAATTTTTCTACTTGTGGTTTTTAAAATATTTGTTCACTTATTTTTGAGTGAATCATATGATTTGGTGCTCAATATGAATTAGATTTTTGTTTAGGTTACATTATAGACTCCTTTGCTTGCTCTGGTTTAATTTCATTTTAGTATACAGCAATGACTATGAATTCATGTCCTGATTTTATTCAGGGTTAAGTTGTTGACAAAGATGTCGGAGGAAGTGGCCACTGGAATCCTTTCTGGGGTTGTGAAAGTGTCTGGATTCTTCACAAGTTCGATTGTGAATTCCTCTGTGGGTAAGAAATTCTTTAGCCTCCTGCCTGGAGAAATTGTTCTTGCATCGTTGGATGGATTCAGTACGTCTCTCATCTCAATCTTGTGTTTATTTATGACATGTCATTTGCATTTTGGGCAACTGCAATTGGCTTTGCACTTATACCCTTCATATATAGTTCTTTATTTTAGGAAATAGCCATGTGATTGTTTATCAGTTTGTTCTCAATGGTTTGTGATTTAAGCTATGACAAAGTTGAGTTTTAGTAGAATTCTTATCTCGGATCCTCTGTCCAATAAACCTGAACTTACGAGTTTTTTAATGCCATTGTGTGTTGCAAGCTTCATCTTAATCGAGCTGGCATTGAATTTATTAAAATTTGTCTTGAAGATTTTTTACTATTTGAACCATTGAGTCAAGAGCAACCATTATAGAATATTTGCAACACTTGTACACTATATGTATCACTATGTACTTATAACTGCAACTTAAAGCATTTCAAATTCATCTTCCTGGTTAAACATACGCTAGGTTTTGTCGTGACTCATACTCCTTTGATGTTTTAAGTGTTTCTTTACAGTTTTTCTCTTCTCTTTTTCAGTTGTCTAGTACCTTGGTTTCTTTTTGCTTTGTCTTTAACCCTTTAGTTGAGTGTTTGGATTAGCGACAATGTTGATGCCCAAAAAGCTCTGGGTGGGACAGAAACTTCCAGTCTGGTCCAAACCTTTTATATTCTTCATATATTATTTGATAATATTATGATCATAATTTTAGATTATTTTTTATTTTTTATTTTGTATTTTTTGACAATTGACTTCTGAAATTCTTATTGTTGCTCTAGGTTGGTATCTCTGAAATGTGTCATATGAATGTTTTGATTTACTAGTTGTAGGAACTGCAGTATGTTTCCATGCTTCTTGCTCATGAGATTATTTCTGTTTGTTGCAAGCAGATAAGGTTTGTGATGCTGTTGAAGTTGCTGGAAGAAATGTAATGTCAACCACATCAGTTGTGACTACTGGACTTGTTTCTCAGAGGTATGTCATGACATTCCTCTAAAATGATGTGCCAAGCCAACCATGCAATTGTTGTCATTATCAACCTAGTCATCTTTGCATTTCTACCAATTTTTCATTTTATGGAAGATATGAGAACACCAATTTGTATTTCATTTATTCTTCTGATGCATTATTAGCAAGTTGGCACTGAGTTTATGGTGTTGCTGTTTGCCTTCAGTGGAATTGTCATATTTATATGAGATAGAACATTATTGTTGAACCTTGTCTTTTCTCAATGGCTATAATGGCCTAATGGAAAGTTGGAAACCCAATCTTTTTCTTAGACTAGTCACCCATCCTTATCCAAAAATCAATAATACGGGGAGCCGTTTCGAGATTTACTTGTCAAAAATAAATAAAAAGTAAAAACAGGTAGCGATGCCATTACTTGAGTAGTTTCTCCTTTCTTGTGTGGATGTCTTGTTTGAACACGGCTTTGGCCCCCTCTTTTTTTTTTTGTTTTGTCCCTTCTCTAAATTGGGGCAAGTTGGTCGGATGAAATAGACAAATTCCATTTTCTCCATGTTAAACCCTTGATATCAGTCTGAAGAATGAAAAAAGATGTCTTATTGCAGGTACGGAGAGCAGGCAGCCAAGGTGACAAATGAAGGTTTTGATGCTGCAGGGCATGCTATAGGGATTGCTTGGGCTGTGTTCAAGATCAGAAAAGCTCTCAACCCAAAGAGTGTCATCAAACCTACAACCCTTGCAAAGGCTGCTGCTGAAACAAATTATGCGGCATTGAAGGCCAAATCTAATAAGCAAACATAGATGGATTTTGCAGTTGGCTTTGTCTGCCTTTGGCAGTTGTCATAGTTGTAAGAGGCTATTAGATTTTTGTCTTTTGGTAGTTCTTCCCCTCAATTTTCTTTGTTACAGACGGTGCATAAAAATGTCTTTCTTTGTGTTCTTCTTTGAGGTCCTGACTCCTAAAGTTATTATAGGCTTCTTTGAATTTATACTAATTTCCTACTGTATTTTCTTTGATATTAATTGGTCTCTCCATCAATAACTAGTCTTAAATGGCTTGCAAGTCTTGAGATCCAGCACAACACCAGATACTGAGCCAACAGCTGCTGCTATGGAGGCAGAGTGCAAGCCAGCTGTTTGTCCATCACTTGAATCTTCCTCTGAGAAATGTACATTTCAATGGGGAAGCAGACCGTTAACAAATTAAAACCAAAGGCTCCAAGTATTCCGATGACATCATTGAAGAAAGGCGTGAGCATAGCTATAATGGTAATCAGTCACCACCACCATGGTTCACCATGCTAGTCAGAAGAAGTTGAGCTGGTAAACTCCATAGAATGGACAAGGCTAGTCGCTCTTGTCATTTTTATGCGAAGTTTCCAGAATCAGAATCTGATTTTACCTTAGACTTGCTTGTACTGTTTTTCCTAAATTATAATTCTATAGTCTTTATCAATGCATTCACCATCGCTGTAACAGGAACTCCATGAAACTGTTAACTTGGATCTAAATACTTGTAATTATAGATCGGTTCAGTTTGACCTTCAGTGCAAGACATAATGCTGCAATATCATGTTTGAATTTTTATTGTAAAAGAATTCAATTCTTGACCCTTATTTTTTCGCTAAAGAACCTCTCTTTTTTCTTTTTCTTTTTTCTTTCCTTTTTTGTACCATTAGGTTGTTGAAAACAGGAGAGTAAATAAAAAATTGTTGTGATGACCAAGGAGCATGGCTGGCAGCAGCAGAAATTGATGCAACCATTGCTCAGATTATGGAAGCGGAGAAAGAACTGTCCTGGGTTTCGAAGAAAGCCGCTTTTAAAGAAGCCTAGTTCTGCTACACTTAAAATTGCAAACAAACCAAACTGTTCATGAATAGTGGCTTGTTTACTAAATGAATGAGCTTGAGCTCGATTTTTTTGCTCATTTAATAATCGAGCCGAGCTCGAGTAGTTTTAAACTCAGCTCGATAAAGCTCGTGAACATAAAAATAAATAAATAAATATTTATTTTTAATAATATATTAAATAAATTTTCAATAATCTATTTTATTTTTTATTTTTATTTGATGTTTGTGTAAATTTACATATTTGATTGATGAAATGTATTATTAATATAAGGATTATTATATATTTTACTCATAATTTTATATTTTTTAAATCTTAACAAGTAAATTAATTTAAAATTAATTTTTTTCAAACTCGAGTTCGAACTCGGTTTGTTTATGTAATCGAGCGAACTCTAGCCAAGCTTGAGTTCAACAAATATTTGACGAGCCGAGTTCGAGCTTGACTAATTCTTAATAAACGAGCTTGAACATTCAAAAACTCAGCTCGACTCATTTGCAGTCCTAGCTACACTTCATGCTATTCCATTTCATAATTTTAATTTCTTGGACAATTCTATAGGGAAAATGCTATAGACCTCAAATAATCTATCAAATTTTCTATCAAAACTCTCACATGGGTGTGGTGGCTATACACATCAGATTGTGGGCCCACCTTGAGCTGGCTGGCCCCTACCATCCTACTTGTACTAGTACTTGCTTTTGGTCTGTTGCGATTTTGTGTAGAATTACTTGCTCTAATTTCATTAATTTTATGTGTAATGCTTAGCTTTTGGATATTGTTGAGGTTTCTTGTAGAACAGAATATCTGGTGAGAATTCGAAGATTAGGTGATTGTCATTTGAAACTTGAAAGTCGTATAAAGAATGTGATCGTTCAGAGAGAAGCTGGCCTAAATGTTGGGTTTATGTCCCATTCTCTGTGCTTCTTTAACCATGTGCAGGGGTGGTGGGTATAAGAACAAGTATTGTGGGCCTTGTGGTGGTTCTACATGGAAGAAGATGTGTAGAAACCAAATTGAAGAAAAAAAATTTTAGGGGGTTCCTGTGAAATTGGGCCACCCACTTTTCATTCCACATAAAAATCTAAAGCAATTCTACCAATTTTTGTCTCATTTCTATATGAAATTTTTTGGCAAATAATTGGTAAACTACCTGCTATATTTGCAATGATGCACCAATACAGCACAGGGTGTTGGTCTGAAATTAGTTGATTGTGCAATTATTGCTTAGATAAATGCTTTACATTTGACACTCTCTTATCATGTTGGGTTGGGGGCATATTCCCATGCTTATAAGTGCGAGAACTTGGTAGGTATTTTGTATTTTTGTGTAATGGATACGTTAAGGTGGCGTGCCTCTCTCTCTCTCTCTCTCTCCCTCACACACACTGGTGGATCTAGCAATTGTAGAGCCTCTTTAAGAAACACAGCAAAATAGTCTCGTAACTTGAGCAATTTTTATAATTTTTGCTGCTTGAACTCAATACAGTTAAAGCCACACTCGTAAACTAAAGTCATTTTGTGGGTTTTCTAAATTTACCGGTGAGATGCACACAAAATATCATCTGATATAACATCTTATATAATACAAATCTTGAGTAAAGTCTCAAGAATCTAAAAAATCACAAATTAGTTTTATTAAGAGAGAACAATTACTCATGGTATTTTTAGAAAAATAAACTTTCTTTAACTTTTTTTTTCTTCCATTTTACTTACTATCACTTTTATTTTTCATTTTATATTTTTCTCTAATCAAAAACTCCATTTGAACCTTTGAAACCAAAGTATCTTGCTTCAGTGTGTACCTACCACTTAACCACCTGTGTTATTTTGTTTTATTTTATATATAAAGATGACACAACTGTTGATTATATTTTAAGAAATTAAGTAAAATATAATGATGCCCCCACATTATTGTTCCAAGTAGTGAAGTAAGCAAGTTTCTAGAATGTTATATGATTCATGAATGAGTAAACCTTTTTAAGCTTGTTGTTGCTAGAGTTGGTAGCAGTTGATACATCAAATCTCAGGATGGTGAAGTCAAATGAGAAAATGAATCGATTTCCAAATATATTTGGTTTGATTTTTAAAATTTGTTTTTAGAAGGAAAAAAAAAAATTTGGTTAAAAATTAATTTGGCAATAAAAGTAAAAAGAATAAAAAAAAACTCATACAATTTTAGTTTTTTGGAGGGTAAATTTTTTTAAAAAAAATTCAAAAATATCTTAATATTTACTTTTGTCAAACTAATTTCTATTGTTTTAAAAAATAATTTTTGAAAATAAAACCAAACAGAGTTGCCTTCCATAAGAATGTATTGGATGCATATATTTCTGCTTTTCACAACATATTAATGGAGGAGGTCATAGTTGTTGTTGGCAAGTCATGGTTCATTTAGATTTTAATTTATGGGTTGATCCTAACTAGATTTAAAAAAATTAATCGAAACTTTGAATTCCAATTTTGAACAAAATCCCTTTTGGAAATTAAAAAACAAAGGGAGAAGAAGAATAAAGTTTGAGTGAATTGTTAGTTTTTTTTAATTGTTGGTCTTTTTAATAAAAAAATACAGTGCTCTTTTGCTTGGCTTGAATAACCAAAAACATACCTTTGCTTTTACTGTGTTTCGCAGTGTACTAGTTAGTGCAAGAACATCAATAATTTTGTAGTCTTTAGCATCACATAATTAGGTATAATATGATATCATGTTGTCAAAACAATAACAATTCAAGAAAGTTTCTTGGTCCATTTTCTCGGGTAAATGCCTCATTTTTCACAATGAGCTGCCTTTTATGTTATTCAAAAGAATCAAGAATTTTATTGTGTTTGGCATCGCACAATTAGGTATGATAAGATATCTCTAATCCATGTTATCAAAAGTCTAATTTCAAGAAAGTTTCTTTACCCATTTTCTCGGGAAAATGCTTCCTTTATCACATTGAATTTGAGCTGCCTTTTTTATGCAATTCAGGAGCTCTTTGAGGGATCAAAATGTAAATCACCTTTGTTGAAAGGGCAGTTGGTGGGTGAGTTTTCAGTTGTGTGATTGATCTCTTTATAGACCCATCTCAGATTTGCAACCACGTGTCCAAAACTCAACAACTTGTACTTTTTTCTTTTTCTTTTTCTTTTTTTGTGGATTTTTTTATTTCTAAATTGAAAAGAATAAAAAAAGGTGATCAGAGTGTCAAATGTGAGAATTTGATAATCCGTAAGTACTATTTCGAGGCCGACTTATATTATAAACCAATCCTAACGAAAGCATAATGAGCTAATAACACGAGATTATTTGGTGGATTTAGTTATTTTATTATTTATTATTATTTTTCTAATGAAAAAGAGTATCAACATCAAGTGACTTAATATTTGCAGACCACATTTTTTATTCATGCATTTCTCTCAGACTAAACAACTCAAGTATTGAATATGTACTTACATATCAAACCCGTATGTAAGAAATCACAATATATTATATATAAATATATGAGTTGTTGGATGACATGGGATGAGGAAACAAAAGACTTAAAGCTTCATTTGTCAATTATATATTTTACTTAAAAAATTAAAAAATCACTATTATTTGTTACACTACTCTCTTTACTTTTTAACATATCTTTTCGTAAAAAATAAAAAAATTACTAAAATCGTCTATTCATAAACAAAGCCTAAGGAATAGTAACAGAGTGAGACAGATTTGTAAAGTCCTACTCTTGTCACATATCATTTTAAGAGTTTTAAGTAAGCGATGATAGTTAAAAAATTAAAAAATAAAAAGGTTAAAATGAAATATTTGAATATTATTATATTTCAAAAAAATTTAATTAAATAATCAGAGAGTAAAAGATGGGATATAGAGAAAAAAATGCCACCACCTTGATTTCTCATCAAGGGCAATAAAAATCCATGAGTCAAGGGTGGAGATGTAAGGACGGGACGTGAAAAAGTTGTCATTCCCACATGGTAAACGTAATATAATTGTGATATTAGATCATATTATTAATCAGAGTCTCTGATTAATAATTCAGAGTCTGCGCCGGTCTCGATCAATTTCTCAAAAAATTTATGATAAGAGCATGAAATGTAATTGTTTAGAATAAGATCATTCAAGAAGATGTGCGGGGCAGTTGGGCTACCTGCCGACTGTGTTCAAAATTATAATGTTTAAAATATAAATTGTCTTTTATGATTTAAAAA